ATGTGTCAACCATGGATACCCAAAATTTTGAGCTGGAAGAAAATAACGGGGCCTTCTACCACCGGGGGGCGAAAGCTGAAAGTGTGGCCGAATATAGGTATAAGATTCATGATGATAGTGTGAGACCAAGACAATTCCTAGGGACAGATACTGAAGATGGAATAGAAGCTATACTTAGTGAACGGCAAGGACATTCCTTACACGAATTTATTGATGGTGATGACCCACTTCGTCCCTTCATAGATTTTGATTTATCTAGAGAAAAATTTGATAAAATTAAACCCAAGCTTCAGCTTACAGCTAAAGAAATACGGGAATTACTTTATCGTGTCTTTAAAGAAGTGTGTCTAGAAATATATCCAGATTGGGATCGCAAAACATTAACTATTGCCAATAGTACGGACGAGAAAAAAATGTCTCTCCATATATCAACTTTTGGTCTCCGACTCAAGAATATTGCTAAAGTTGCAGTATTTACTGAGCTCGTTCGCAAAAAGCTTCCAATAGATTTACAAGAAAAAGATATTGTCGATAACATTGCAAATAAATGTCCATTCTCCTTGCGAATACTCGGAACTCCAAAAATTATTAAAAATACTAATGAACATGTCTGAGTGAAGAAAGCAGTTTTTCCAAAAGATAGTTCTGTCTTTGATTTTATGCTTCGCCCACCTAATGATGAGGCACCAGTTATAGATAGTCCTCTACTATCCGTCTCAGAGTCAGTGCCAACTAGAATCTCTAACATAGCTACCGAAACTACTGAGGATATTGAAATCGAACTCAATTTGGTTGCAAAATTATTAGAAGAATTCGAAATCAGAGGATACAAACTTTCATGCCCACGTGAAAATTTTCCTGATACTTTTTCTCTTAAACGGGTGACTCCAGCATTTTGTCCATTATGTTATCGAGAATATGGCTATAAAGATCCACATACAAGTGATAATGCATATGTTATCCGAAATAAGAAATCGTATAGCTTCTATTGCCATTGTGTGAATAATAATAGAGAAGCTGGATCTAGAAAACCTTCAATAAAGTTGACCATTAAAGAAAAAGCTTCGGAACAAGAAGAAAGCCTTCCAGTCCCAGAAAAATTAAACTGACCTAGAATTTCAGATCCCAATGATCACTTTGTGTTTGGCGACTTATTAGATATGTGTGAATCGGATAAAAAATATTCTCGCAATGAAGTCTATGAAGCAATCCAGGCAACAATTGCGTGTATTCAAAAAACTTCAAAAACGTGGATACTCAAAATGGAAGAAGAGGATGGTGGTCTCTGCTTTGATATAGCATCCGAACTAAAGCTTTCTTCATATGAGATCAATATAATTGAATTTGGAGGAGAATCAATAAAGTTAAGAGCATTAATAGATCGAGCAGTTATTAAAGGTCTAATTCATTACCGCGCCATTAATTTTCATCCATATCCCTTAAATACGCCTCAACCAAATGCGAAAGTCTTTAATCTTTTCATGGGTTTTTTGGCTAAACCAGTGAGAGAAATAATTAAGGAAATTATAGAACCTATTCTTTGGCATGTATTAAATGTAATTTGTGATGGGAATGAAGAACTCAATGATTATATTTGGAATTGGTGGTCATATTTAGTGCAATTTCTGGAAAAACAATTCTCGTATTAAAATCAACTTTACAACAATGTGGAAAAAATATTATTACTGATTTTATTGGTGATAAAGTTCTGGGGGAGCATCTTCATTTTGTGACATCTAATCTAGAGCAAATTCTTGGGCATTTCAATAGTTCTATTCAAGCTAGAAAGCTTATTGTTATGAATGAGACTGGAATGGCTAGTGGTGAATGGCATAGGTTTAATGGCCATCTCAAATCTCTTATAACAGAAAAAAAAGGTGGCTATAGAACGTAAAGGTGTTGAGACTATAAGAATAAATGACTTTGCGGGGTATATGGTCACCAGTAATCAGGATGCTCCACTCAAAATAGATATAGGGGATTCTCGTATAGTCTGCTTTGATGTATCTTCACGATGTAGAGGTAATATACCGTATTTTGACCGATTAGGGAAAATTTTAGACCATCCCGACGCACCAGGAGTAGTAATGGCATATCTTCTTAATCGTGATCTATCAAAGTGGAGTCCACAAAATATTCCTACCACTAAAATGAAGACAGAAACAATGGTGAAACAATTCCCAAATCCTACCCGCTTTTTAATACAATATATTAAATCATGGCCTGAAAATCAAATCAATAAAACGATCTCTGGAAATTTATATCAAGAATATCTTACTTGGTGTGGGAATGAAGGCGAGGATCGAATCAGTAACAATAAATTTGGAGGTTTTCTTCCACCGATAGGAATCGAGAAAAAGCAAGTATGAATTAATGGAAAAAGAGAATGGATATATATTCTTGATCGATCCAAAATTGTGGCCAAGTTACGTGAATCGGTAGGAGATATCGAGGAATTTTCAGACACACCTCAAACTGAGATACCCACCAACACATCCGCAGATATCCCCGTATTCGACGTACCTGAAATTGTTACATCCGAATCAGAAAAAAAGATAGCCGAGTCATCGACCACCGATCATATCAAAAAAAGTAAGGATTCATCACCCGCTCCACCAATCACTAACACGACCCAGGACCTCTTCGATTATATAACAGGTCAATCAGAATCTCCAGTTGCTTCATCATCCAAGTCTACCGATATATCCATGGCTCCGGAGATCGAACATGTAGAACCAATAGACGATAAACCAGAAATTATCGAGGAATCAGAGATTCGAGACTATACCTCATCTAGCAATGATGAAGTTAAACCATCTCCCGACTTACTCACAAATGATAAATCCGAACCCAGCAATGAAGAAGTCAAGCACGAAGTGCCCTGCTCTGCAGACACCCAATCGGAAACATACTCACCTGGATATATACCTCGGGAAGAAAGGGAGGCACATTTAAGAGAAACTGCGGTTAAATATGGCGAGGATCCTGATAAGTTCGTAACCATAACTGAAAAGGATAGGGATTTGGTAAGGATATTCCGAGATAAAATGATGGCGGACGCAGAAATAATCGATTTTGCACGAAAAGATGGGGACGATCCAGAGGAGTATATGGAATTGACCAGGCGAGAAAAATTGATATGTATGGAAATTAAGCTACGGATGTATGAAGATGATGGCAAACCCCGATCATACACATGTATTTATGATGATGAAGAATGGAAAAAAAACATAGCGATACTCCAGGAAAATGGATATCTATGGTAAGATCACTATATATGCTAAGGAGCGAATAGGTGAATTTTGCAGGTAGGAGCTTTGATATAGGGGGATTTTTTGCTCCTACAAACTAGTTAATATAAAATTTTCAAATAAAAATTTTACGCAAACTCTGTGTTATATACAGTGTGTAACGAAAAAAACCGCTTTCACAAAAAATGCCATAACTCAGTAACCATGCAAAATTTTCAAACAA